ATCTCGAGACGAGAATGGACTCGGACCTCGGTGATTGACTGGCGTTGTTTTCCTCGTTTCTCTACACGATAATATTTAAATCGTTTAAATAATTACCGTGTGAAGCGAATTTATTATGCACAACATAAATAATGATAACAACCGACAACACAGCGGCGTACCGGCAGTTGCTATACGCGCATCTACGACATGACCGTAGAACAATAACTGGCGGCTGCAAACGGCCATTTATGGCAAAGGAAAAAAAGTGAAGACAAGTGATGACTGCATAAAAAAAAAGTAATATCTTTCCTCCGCCGGCGCTTTTCCATCCCCGTCTCCCATTAGTCACGGGTATAATGTGGTTTTGACTAATTATCTCAGTCATTCAATACAGACACACGGACGCCGGCAAGTCACACCGACCGAATGCAACGCATTGTTGTTATTATCATCATCGCAGCCGCCGAATCGAGAAGATCGTTCAGAGAAAATAATCTCATTGAGTATCGACTGCAGTATCGACACCGTGTGCTACGAGTGTACAATACAATTTTCTAGATTAGGTTCTAGGAGAAGGGCAAAGACCTCGCGAAAAGCGATTGGCTGCCGTTTTCTAATGAATTTTTCACAATGGATTCGAACGTCTAACGGACCGGAAGAAAGTAGTTTCGTAAATCCTCGTGCCTATAGCTTTAGAACTTTTTTAAGTAAACCTGCCTTTGGTTTGAAGTTGACGACGTTGACTTTGTAAAATCTGAGTAGCGGATTACATTACTATAAAACCATGTGTACATAAATGTTAGGAAAAACATCGATTCTCAATGATTTTTTATTTGTTATATTTATATGGCTTATTATTATCAAAACTAATTCATACAATAATAATAGATCATAGTATTCTATTGTAAGAACTGTATTAAGTAACATAGTTTGATGTGTGAATTAAAATTTTTAAGTTATTATTTAACTTTTTTTTATTTTAGTTTTTCAAATAACACCATTTGAAAAAATAACAAATAAAACTAGTTCGATAAATTACTTAACAATAAGTTATTAAATAGTTTTTACTCAATTACTTTTAATCGAGTTTTAATATTTGAGTATTTTCAAATTTGAGATATATTTACACAGATTTACATATATTTTTAAGTAATTGTTTTGACTAAAATTTTTATTTGTTTTGAATATTATACTCGAATTGTAAACAGTAGATTCTAAAATTTTATTTATTTTCTTGCAAAAACTTCAATGTTGTTTTTGCATAGGATCAATTTGTTAATCAAACAAAATATATATCTTTTTTCATGGATATATAAACTATAGTAATACAAAGAATGAGTGATTTTCTATTAAAACTTAGAGAAACAATACCTTTTTTCCTGTATGTTTTTATATGATCGATATGTCAAACATATCCACAATACTTTAAGTACAGTTTTCTTGACTAAATTTTCAAGTTCAAATCTTACTTTTTATCGATGGTGATCGTATGTAAAATTGCAATATAATTTAAAACAAATTCACAATCAAAATATTATTACAACAATCATGAAATTCACACGGTGTAATATCGACGATAAAAATTTTTTGATGCGTTTAATTTACTCATATGTATTAGATCAATTTGAGTTNAATGTCAATTATTGCGTGACGTTGTTCGGAAATGGCAGAATCCCCTCCGTGTTTCTCACTTATTTGTTCATGAGATATTCGCGTATAACTGTACTAAGCACATTATGTGTAATATTGAATTTGTGCAGCGATTTTAAAGATAATAAAATCGTATTAACCGGCGGCCATAGCTTTGAATGGATAATTTAAATTTTATTCATGAAATGTCCTACTCTGAACTTGTAAATAACCGTCTAATCGTTTTAGGATACTCGAAGATCTCGCCGTACGATTAAATAATAGAAAAATTCCATAGGCTCCTACGTGATGATTGTTTTATGATATACTTGGAAAACACAGATACACACTCTCGCCCAGTCCGATATTAGTAGACATCTTCGGGCGGTGCATTATTAGACCCCACGAACTATTACCTCAAGTGGCGTCCGTAGGCAGCATAAAAAACGCAACAGTCGGTCGAACGTACAAATTTTACATATATCTCGAGACGAGAATGGACTCGGACCTCGGTGATTGACTGGCGTTGTTTTCCTCGTTTCTCTACACGATAATATTTAAATCGTTTAAATAATTACCGTGTGAAGCGAATTTATTATGCACAACATAAATAATGATAACAACCGACAACACAGCGGCGTACCGGCAGTTGCTATACGCGCATCTACGACATGACCGTAGAACAATAACTGGCGGCTGCAAACGGCCATTTATGGCAAAGGAAAAAAAGTGAAGACAAGTGATGACTGCATAAAAAAAAAGTAATATCTTTCCTCCGCCGGCGCTTTTCCATCCCCGTCTCCCATTAGTCACGGGTATAATGTGGTTTTGACTAATTATCTCAGTCATTCAATACAGACACACGGACGCCGGCAAGTCACACCGACCGAATGCAACGCATTGTTGTTATTATCATCATCGCAGCCGCCGAATCGAGAAGATCGTTCAGAGAAAATAATCTCATTGAGTATCGACTGCAGTATCGACACCGTGTGCTACGAGTGTACAATACAATTTTCTAGATTAGGTTCTAGGAGAAGGGCAAAGACCTCGCGAAAAGCGATTGGCTGCCGTTTTCTAATGAATTTTTCACAATGGATTCGAACGTCTAACGGACCGGAAGAAAGTAGTTTCGTAAATCCTCGTGCCTATAGCTTTAGAACTTTTTTAAGTAAACCTGCCTTTGGTTTGAAGTTGACGACGTTGACTTTGTAAAATCTGAGTAGCGGATTACATTACTATAAAACCATGTGTACATAAATGTTAGGAAAAACATCGATTCTCAATGATTTTTTATTTGTTATATTTATATGGCTTATTATTATCAAAACTAATTCATACAATAATAATAGATCATAGTATTCTATTGTAAGAACTGTATTAAGTAACATAGTTTGATGTGTGAATTAAAATTTTTAAGTTATTATTTAACTTTTTTTTATTTTAGTTTTTCAAATAACACCATTTGAAAAAATAACAAATAAAACTAGTTCGATAAATTACTTAACAATAAGTTATTAAATAGTTTTTACTCAATTACTTTTAATCGAGTTTTAATATTTGAGTATTTTCAAATTTGAGATATATTTACACAGATTTACATATATTTTTAAGTAATTGTTTTGACTAAAATTTTTATTTGTTTTGAATATTATACTCGAATTGTAAACAGTAGATTCTAAAATTTTATTTATTTTCTTGCAAAAACTTCAATGTTGTTTTTGCATAGGATCAATTTGTTAATCAAACAAAATATATATCTTTTTTCATGGATATATAAACTATAGTAATACAAAGAATGAGTGATTTTCTATTAAAACTTAGAGAAACAATACCTTTTTTCCTGTATGTTTTTATATGATCGATATGTCAAACATATCCACAATACTTTAAGTACAGTTTTCTTGACTAAATTTTCAAGTTCAAATCTTACTTTTTATCGATGGTGATCGTATGTAAAATTGCAATATAATTTAAAACAAATTCACAATCAAAATATTATTACAACAATCATGAAATTCACACGGTGTAATATCGACGATAAAAATTTTTTGATGCGTTTAATTTACTCATATGTATTAGATCAATTTGTGTTGTGTTTTACTTATCCAGATGACAATTGAAATGTCATTAATTATTAATGTTGCCGAGTTAATTGAAATTAAAATGAAGTACCAGCAGCTGTATTTATTACAAATGATTTTTGAATAAATTTAATTATAATATAGCTGATACAAGTTGTTGGACTTTAAGATGGCACGACTATTTTTCGGTAAGAAGAATCCTTTAGTGTGTTGTTACTTGTTATTTGCTGATTGAACATCGAACATGTAGTGTAAAACTCTTGAGTATTCCATTTTTGTACATTTTCTTTAGATATCGACAATTTTCGTTTGGTTCAAGCTGTGTAACGTTTGATTCGATCGAGTGTGTATCAGGAAAACATCTATAACTAATACAAACACCACTCTGAGGGGACTTTCTGAGCTGTATATGATTATGTTTTCACACCATGTCACTCAAATGGACCGAGGATTTAACGGAACTTTATGAAAACATCAATTCGATCGATGACCCTTAGTATCCCAAGGGAGTGACAAACGCGGAATACATAGGAAAAATGTGTTTTGCACAAAGTTTGCTAGAAATATTAACATCCCTTCGCATATACTCACATGCTAACAATGTGACTGAGTACACAATAAGGGAGACCTTCTCCGAGGATAAAACGCGTAAGGGATAGAATCACAAGTATACAAAGAGAGTAAAAAAACTTATCAACGAAAAAACGCTATTCTGTGCTCTGTATGTTAGAATGATAGATTGACAATAATATAAATGCACATACGATACAAGTTACCATTCAGAAAATATCGATAAAGAGGGAGATTTTTTAAAGCTTTTGTTTTAACTCAAACTGTGTTCGACTCGATATTTAAACGTCTAACCGTACTGAGTAAATATAAGCCTCAAGAAAAGCATTCTTTGTCTTTTGGCAGTCTTAACCAGTCTACTGGCAATAAAAATTCAATCGTTTCTAAGTGTTATTGAGGCGTTATTCAACCCCTAAATGTAACGATTACGACGTACACTCAGGCCGCAGTCAATTTTTGTACAGTTAAATAATGTATGAGGATTATAACCGCACTATAACCCCAGCGGCTTTGGCTTATGCGAACAGTTTTGACAAATTGATTTAGATTTAAACTCGACTAGTTAATTAGACTTTGTTGTTAACGCAATCACGACTAACAGATGCAGCCCAGACTTGATATTTCGACTTCATGCACATTATCCTTCTTCCTAGTAACTATAATTAGTTAGAGAAATAAGTTGAATAATAAAATAGCGGACAATTAAAAAAATAGCCTGCATTAAATTACTGTAAAATTTCTTTCGATCCCCGTAAATAAGGGAAATCTCTAAAAAAAATTACAAATTTAAAAATCGGTAATTTTCCTTATTTTTCCAATTTTTTTTTTTTAAAACTTTCATAACTTTTTTAAAAATGAACAAATCAATATAATTTTTTTTATAGATACTTTAGGTATTTACCTATCATATATATTTTTGTGATCATTTGACCCTTTACCTGCCCAAACGCTTCAAAATAGAAACTTTTTCACAAAAAATTTACTTTTTTAACTTTATTTTTGAAAATGTTCCGGAATTACTGACACTTATATATATATATCTTAAATTAAAACTTAGGCGATATACTTTAATTTGAAAAAAAAAGACTGTGGACTTCGTGGTGAAAACACACATCAGAGTTAAAGAAAAACGTATGATTTCCGTAATAATATTCTTGATTTTGTATTTTTAATTTATATTGCTATAAGTTTTTGAAAAATGTATGGATCGATATTATTTTTTTTTATAAATACTTTTTATATATCCCTTTCATCCGACATACTTTTTTTTAAACTGCACTATATCCCTTCATACAAGGGGGTCAAATTTTAAACATTTGTTTAGAAAATAGAACTTTTTCAACTTAATATTTGATAATGTTCCGGAAATACTGACATTTTTATAAATATATATATCTTAAATTAAAACTTATGTAATATACTTTAATTAGAAGAAAAAAATTTGATTTCTGGATTTGTCTTCATGGTGAAAATGTCTATCTTATTGAAAAATATGCTATTTTTGTGTTAAAATTCTGGATTTTATTTTAAAATACCTTATAAGGCAGAACACTGATTTTCATAAATATTATATAAATATATTGACATAACATATAAAGATAAGTTTATTTAAATTTTGTTGCGTTTTTTAAGTCGCCAAAATTTAAATTGTCTTTTGTTTTCATTAGACACATGCGACGTACGGTTACCGAATCGTTAAAACTTATATCTCTACGCTTGGGGTACAAAGCTCTAACTGAACCGTTGCAACAAATTTTTTGCATATTTTTCTTAATCCTATTTTATGTAGAAAAAATGTTTAACTCATTTGATATTTATCTTTTATAGATTCAAAAACTTCAATAAAGATCAAGGATTCCTCACTGAAATCTCCCCTCGTGAGAAAAAATGTCTTATCCATATTAGAATTATTTTATTATATGGTTTCTTTTTGTTACCATCATTTAAATTCTGAACTCTCAAATTATAATTTATCAATTAAACAGTTACTTATTCCATGTTTTAAAATTATTTATTGACGAATTAAGTTTGATATAATAATAGGTTTGAACTACAAAATTAAATCATTTTACTTTGTAATTTATTTATTTTTTTATTATATTTGTGTGTGCTACACAAATAGAAATACACTTTTTTTTTAACAAAGTGTAAGCATTATTATTTTTTTGTAATAAAATAACTTGTAACAAGTTTGTTATAATTTATAAACCATGTCTATAAGTAACTTGACCTTCATATAAATAAGAAATACAATTTTAATCTATACATTTTTATGATTGCATAAAAAATTAATTGTAAGGGCATTTTAGAATTATCCGTATACATTTTTAATATACACATTGATTTTATAACCATGTATTGTTATTTATAAATAAATTATAAAAGTTTGTATAGAAATGTAACATTTTTGTCATTACTTATAAACATTTTCTATTATATTTATTGTGTATTGAACAATAATTATATGATTGGAAAATTCGGACATTTATTATTAAGTATTTTGGTTATAATTTCAAAAATAGTATTTATTAAGAATACAAAATTACATGATTGCTCTCAATATAATTATTATCATTTTATCTCAAGACGATTTATTTAAACTATAATGTAATGGAATGTAAAATATGAATAATATTTTATCAGAAAACTAATTAATACAGCCATTCTCGTTAGCATAGTTGATTATATCCAAAAAACCTCTTCGAGTAGCTTCATAAATGGTATTAATACTCCATGGACAATTATGTTCATGAGCATATTTTAAACAACGAAACTGACCATTTGCAGCAGCAAGTCTTGTGGTGCTTTCATCCCATTTACATCCTTTTTCGTGGGCATATATTAAGCAACTTAAATTTCCCCGCATGGCAGCTGTAACTATTGTACCTTCATTCCAATTACATCCATTTTTATGAGCAAATTTAAGACAATCAATACAACCACTTGCAACAGCTTCCCTTGTTGTACCCTCATCCCATTTACAACCATTTTCAAAGGCATATTTGATGCATTCTAATTGTCGATTGGCAGCAGCGCCTCTCATCGTACCTTCAGTCCAATTATATCCATGTTCATATGCATATTTTAAACAATCTAAATTACCATGTGCGGCAGCTGTATTTAATGTTTCTTCATGCCATGGGCACTCATTTTCATGAGCATATTTTAAACAGTCTAAACAACCACTTGCTGCAGAAGCTCTAGTTGTGTCATAATCCCATGGACATCCATTTTCATGTGCATATTTTAAAATTTCAAAATTACCATTCATAGCTGCTGTTACTATTATACCTTCATACCATTTGCAACCGTTTTCAATTGCATATTTTAAGAATTCTAAATTACCATAACTTGCGGCAGCTTGTGTTGTTTTTTCATCACATTGACATCCATTTTCAAGTAAATATTTTAAAATTTCTAAACCACCTCCTTTAATAACTACAGTAAGTATGCCGTCATCCCATGGACAACCATTTTTATGTGCATATTTTAAAATTTCTAAATTACCAATCATGGCTGCTGTAACTATTGTACCTTCATCCCATTTGCAACCGTTTTCATGAGCATATTTTAAAAATTCTAAGTCACCATAACTTGCAGCTATTTTTGTTGTTCTTTTAGGCCATGGATATCCATTTTTATGAGCATATTTTAAAATTTCAAAATAACCATTATTGATAGCCACAGTAGTTATCCTATTATCTAATACACATCCTTTTTCATGTGCATAGATTAAACATTCTAAATGTCCATTCGTCGCAGCATATATCGTTGTGCTTTCATCCCACGGACATCCATTTTCATGTGCATACTTTAAACATTCATAATGTCCATTCATAGCAGCGTTTTTTGTTGTTTCTGTATTCCAACTGCAGTCATTTTCATGTGCATAGATTAAACATCCTAAATGCCCGTTTGTTGCAGCTGCTATCGTTGTCCTTACATCCCATGGACATCCATTTTCATGTGCATATTTTAAGCATTCTAAACGCCCATATCTTGCAGCTACTATCGTTATGCTTGTATCCCATAAACATCCATTTCCATGAGCATATTTCAAACAATCTAAATTACCTCCAATAACAGCATATCTAGTAATGTCTTTAATCCAGTGGCACCCATTTTCATGTGCATATTTTAAACATTCATAATGTCCATTCAGAGCAGCTCTTCTTGTTGTTTCTTCATTCCAACTGCAGTCATTTTCATGTGCATAGATTAAACATCCTAAACGCCCATATCTTGCAGCTACTATCGTTATGCTTGTATCCCATAAACATCCATTTCCATGAGCATATTTCAAACAATCTAAATTACCTCCAATAACAGCATATCTAGTAATGTCTTTAATCCAATGGCACCCATTTTCATGTGCATATTTTAAACATTCATAATGTCCATTCAGAGCAGCTCTTCTTGTTGTTTCTTCATTCCAACTGCAGTCATTTTCATGTGCATAGATTAAACATTTTAAATGTCCATTTGTCGCAGCATATATCGTTGTGCTTACATCCCACGGACATCCATTTTCATGTGCATACTTTAAACATTCGAAATGTCCATTTGCAGCAGCTTTTCTTGTTGTTTGTTCATTCCAACTGCAGTCATTTTCATGTGCATAGATTAAACATTTTAAATGTCCATTTGTCGCAGCATATATCGTTGTGCTTACATCCCACGGACATCCATTTTCATGTGCATACTTTAAACATTCGAAATGTCCATTTGCAGCAGCTTTTCTTGTTGTTTCTTCATTCCAACTGCAGTCATTTTCATGTGCATATTTTAAACATTCTAAATGCCCATTTGTTGCAGCATATATCGTTGTCCTTACATCCCATGGACATCCATTTTCATGTGCATATTTTAAACATTCGAAATGTCCATTTGCAGCAGCGTCTCTAGTTGTTTCGTCATCCCACCTACAGTTATTTTCATGTGCATATTTTAAACATTCGAAATGTCCATTTGCAGCAGCTTCAGCAGTCGTATATTCATCCCATTCACAACCACTCTCGTAAGCTAGTTTTAATGTTTCAATGTCACCAATTTTAGCAGCTATTTCTGTGGTACCCTTTTCAAACGGGCATATTTTTTTTTCACTCAAATCTTTATTTAAAATACCTAAATGCACACATTAATTAATTTTTTATTATTTTATTCAAATTTAATTAGATTACTTAAAATTATGTAATCGAGTGTATAAGATGCCTGAATTTTACTCCTTCTCTATTTTCTTTATTTATAAAATTTTGTTTGAATATATTGCTATTAAACAAAAAAGTTTATTTTGAAAAATATAGTTAAATTTAAACATTTTTGTAATTAAAAAGAATAAAAATACTCTTAATAAAACATTATTTTAAATATTGAGGTGATTTAATCGAATAAATTACCATTGTAGATTTAATTTGTATGATATTTTAATATTTTTTTTTGCATATAACAAAGTAGTTTTATTCATGACATTACTTTTCAATAATATTCGGATATCGTTGTTATGTTGAATGGCTTAAAAGAGATTATTGGTAGCTATACTAATATAATTACATAAAACATATTGCTATCTTGATAAATACTAAAATTATTTATGAAGTTATCACAAAATATACATTGACATGGCTCCCGACGCTTCNTATTGCTATCTTGATAAATACTAAAATTATTTATGAAGTTATCACAAAATATACATTGACATGGCTCCCGACGCTTCGGGAGCCATGTCAAATATAACCATGTTATATTTATATTATTATGTTTACATTGTAATATTTAAATTATATATAATTTTTTTTTCTTAAAACTTTCCAAATTCTTTTAAAAATGAACAAATCAATATAAATTTGTTTATAGATACCTTAGGTATTTAACTATTATATATATTTTTGTGAACATTTGACCCTTTACCTGTCCAAATGCTTCAAAATAGAAACTTTTTCACAAAAAAATGACTTTTAGCTTCGATGCGAAGCTGAGAAGGTATTAATTTTACCATGATGTGTTTATTTTTTTTTTTTTTTTTTTTTTTT